CCCCCCCCCCCCCCCCCCCCTACTATTAAATGCGATACCGCACCAAACTTTTTGTTACCAACAAACCATCTATCATTGCTCCACACTCGGTATAGTATGGTCCCTTTTTGTAGATGCCCCCGCCACTGACGAATTCTTAAAAAATGCCCTGTTGAGACTACCTTAGCTTCTATACAAAATTTGCATACACATAGATAAATTCCATGTTGAAGCATGATGCGCGTGCTCCTCCAACTCAATGTTGAGCTTCATGTGTCATGGTAAATTACCAAAAAGCCCCCCCCCCCGCCCCAGAAGGTTTGCAGCTTTGTCGCAAACTTAATTCATCTCAATATCAGCCCCCCCCCCTACCCTACCCTGCTGATGTGTCAGCGTGCAATAATTTTTCTAAAAAGATTTTTTGCTGTAGAGCCCAAGCCCCCAGTGCACTCGGCAGCTTGTTAAAAAGCCCGCGAAATTTTAGAAGCCAAAACAAAATGGCGTGCAGATATCTAGCTGAGCTTCTTCAAATTATTGTCAGAAAAAGACTGTGACAGCACCAAAAAGATTACGAAACAATGCAAATCTATCTTCGACAGGTACTTGTTATATTTTCTCTTCAAATATCGCGTTTCTTCCTTTTGTCGGCTTTTTTTAAAATTTGAATTTTTATAGTATAAAGTATATAAAATGAATGGTGCCTCCCTGCTGTCTGTGCCTGTGGACACTGGTCACTGTTTTGATTTGTATTTACCAAATTCTTTGAAATTCTTTTCGTCAAACACTACACAAACATTTTTATTGTAGTTCAGGAAATATGTTATAGGCAAATTTAGCTCCAGTGCCGCGCGACATTGATATTTAATAAATATTGGCCCAAAACAGGGTGTTAATAGCCATAAGTAAAAAAAAAATCCGCGTTTACCTGAAATTTGGAAATTTATTTTATCCTGAAGCTGGGCATTTCTTTGTGGGTCTGGGGGCATGCAGTTACCCTTCTCAATTTTTAAAATTTTTGTGTCTTTGAAATGGCATTTCCCACATTTTGAGAGTATAAATTTTGAGCAAATGTAGTTGAATTTACATTGAATTTCTTTAACTATTTTTTGGCTGACCCAAATTGGGAAATTGCGACCTCATGGTAATTGGGAAAACCATGTTTAACACGGAATTTTTGACTGTAGCTAACACCCTGCAAAACTTGAGTTTGGTAAATATGACAAATTTCAAATCACGTTCAAATTAACCAGCAATATATTAAACAACCTGAAGCAAGCTCACCAAAGCATGACCATGGGTTGATGCTCCCCCCCCCCCCCGCCCAAGCCTGGGTAAAGCTTACCTTTCGTGAAATCAAGAACGTCATTCCTTTTGTAACTTGCCAAGCAAAATGTACCAATGTTTTTGGTCCAATGGCTTGGCCAGGATCAGGAATCAAACTGTCTTCATCCAGGTCGTAAATATTCCGACTGCTTCGTAAGAATTCTCGGAGATTTCCATTTGAACAGTATTCCATTATTATCCACAAGTTTGAAATCTTTCCTAAGTAAAAGTAACAAAATTGTGATGTTTGAACACAAACTGTTAACAATGGCTAACCCACTGAGTAGCAGCGTTTTCCTCTGAAGAATAAAATGATAAAGTAGGCAAATCAGAGCGCATTGGCACTTAAAGGATTAAAAGTTACCCAAGGTTGGTAGCATACACTGCACTATAATTTATTATTTATTTGAAATAATTCATAATTTTCCGATTGGCTAACAGCCAACGGTGAAGTCGTCACGTCAACCCGATAACTGATGCTACAGTGCAATATAGAGATTAATTGAACAGTGATGTAATGCTATTCATGGAACATGAAAACACAGCCAAAAAGAACATGGCGTCGACTTTGGTAGTTTGCGAACTTTCGGATAGCTGCATTTAAAATAACAAAGATTAAACAAATTAAACCAACAATGAAAGGCAGAAAATGTTTTTTGACAATAGCAGAATATAAATAAGAAGAGCTCATTATTTTGAAGGATGTAACCCACAGGGCACATGTGCAGATGTATTTTCTGGGCCTGAAATTTAAAATTTGTCTCAGTATCCTGCTGGGATACCAGGATTCAAAGTTCTAATATGGGATACAGTGCATGTCTCTTATCTTACAAATTACAATGACAACAGTAGCTAAACTGAACATCACAGTGACCAAGTTGGTATCATGAATTATACACTACAGTATGATGCAGATGAACCTTTGAGAAACTTCTACTCTTGAATTGGAAATCAAAGGCTTATTAGTTTTAAGGTAGCCGACTTAAAAGCTATTTAAAAGCTATTGGGAGACCATTAAAGACATGTAAGCATGTAATGTTATTCTACTGTATAACACCACCGTATAAACTATGATATAACACAAAGTTTGTTCTTCATAATTTGTCATATTATGTCGAAAGTGTAATTTCCCTGGCCCCTTTCTGATAGCCACGCCTCCTTGAATACGTATTAAACAAAGCATACTGTAGTTGTTGCTAACCTTTTGTGCAAGCACCTAGTATGTTTACTATGTTCTCATTTTCACCGACATGAATTAAAATCTTTAATTCTGACTGAAAATCAACTAGACTTTTGCGATCTGCGTTTTCTGAAAGAGAAGCATTTTATTCATAATTATAGACATGCATGTGGCTGTGGATTTTATTTTTTGTGGGTGTAACCAGTCTTTGAATGGAGGTAGGCAAGGCGGTCTAGGGACCACCAAGCGAACCAAAACTAGTAGCCTGGAGAGGAGAATGGATCCTGAAATCAAACTTTAAATGGTGTACGACACGACATATTTTCCAAAAAGCTTTCGAATTTGGCTCAATACTAAGTTATTTTATCTGCATGATAGCCATTTACTCCGTGTATAGATGATAGCTAGCACCACTCCCTCCAAATGGTTTTGGGATTGACCTGTAACTATAAAATATTTAATTCAAAGTTGTTATTAGGGCATTAATTTTTATGACAAAAACATGATTCCCGCCTGCTTCATCTGTCGCAACTATTTTATCATCAAAAGTATTACATGTGGCATTAAAACTGTATTGGAAAATGGAAGTCAAACCTTTAATGCTTTTGACAGCAACCTTTGTCACTTCTCTACTATTTAGTAATCTGTTTCTTTTCGCCTTATACAAAAAGAAGGAAAACCGTCCGCCACCTGCACGTTCTTTCAACACCTCTCTTGGGTGAAACGATGATATACCAACTGCTTCTGCTAACCAGACGACTCCAAACTGTCCAGAACCAAGATCATTGACTGAAAAATTATATGGATAATTGAATTTTTAGAAAGAAATCCAATAAGACAGTGAATTTGGCATTTCTCAATTGGAGAATTTTTCATTGATAGTTTTCCACTAATAATTTTTGAGACTATATAGTACTGTAAGTGGTTTCATACAGAGTTTTAAAACAAAAGCAAAACAACCTTCGCTCTGCAATGGCCCGATGAACTTCTAAAATTAATGATTTTCCGAGGGAAAATATTTAACATGCCATAATTAAACAATTGAACTCAGCTAATTCTCTGCTGCCTCACAGTCTGTTTTCCTTTTTAAAGTAACGTTGCTCTAAATTTTTCGTAGGATCAAATCTGGATTTTTACGTACTGTAAATGATGAGAGAGGGGGGGGGGGATTTTATGGGAAAGGTAATGGTCAGGGTCCACCCTTCCTAGGATCTAAGGGTTAAGTGTCCCTGTAAAGTCAACAGCATGACTGTATGCATGTAATGTATGTACCAGTTATGAATGTATGACTACAAACTTTGCACTAAAAGGTTGACATACAGATGAACGATTATCATTTTTTAAAATTCATAGAACTTTCATTTGTTCGAGTGTACGCCACAAATTGACGATATTTTCCTGGACTAGGGGCCTTGTTCAACAAGGAAAATTGTTCGTGTGTACGGTCGTCAAGGAATATAGCTATGATGTAGCTCACTCAGGAAAACGGGCGCCTTAAAGTCAATGGACCATTTGCATTATAGACTAAATTTTGATCTAGACAAAAATTTCATCACAGTTTGAAAGAGCGTCACAAAATTAGTAATATTCCAAAGTTTCGTTGCGAAATGTTTTAAAATGCGGATAATATAGCCATGCGAAGTTTGCCGTTTTTCAATCATTTTGTATTACACACGGGAAATTGACAGCCCAATCGGGTGTTGGGACATCAATTTCCCGTTTGTAATACAAAATGACTGAAAATTGCAAATTTCGCAAGGCTATATTATCCGCATTTTACAACATTTCGCAACAAAACTTTGGAATATTACTAATTTTGTGATGTGATGAAAGCTGTGATGAAATTTTTGTCTAGATCAAAATTTAGTCTATAATGCAAATGGTCCATTAACTATTAAATTGAGTCAAATTTCGACTTTGATCTATCATTTATAGAAATGTCTGAAGGGAGGTATGAATTTCCTGGGAGGTGCAAAACAATCTTCGGGGACGTGCGCGCGCCTGCTCCTGGCACTGAATCAAGTTGTAAATGAATTGCAAAGTGTAGTTACATTGTAATTACGTACCAAATGTTATCTTTTTTCGAGGAAATTCCCATTCCGGTATAAACGGTAGCTTGTGAACTTGTTCTTCGATACCTTTATTAACATCCAACATCTCGATATAGTCCGGTAAGGGAGGAAATGAGAAAAGATAAAAGCCACCATAAAGTTTCTTTCTTTTGTACAGCACAAAACTTGATGCGATTAACATGACCAAGGATATCAGTCCAATCGCAGCGGCGACATAAATGGAGGTGCGCTTCTGGACAGATGACGTCGACTTGGTAGGAGGAACTAATTTCAAATTAACATAATTAATTCATAATATATATATTACGACTTCCGACGCAATCGCACCGTGTTGTACCACATGCCTTGGTGAGAGCAAGCTCATGTGTTATACCGTACGTACGATTATAATATAGCATTCGTAAATTCTGAACGCTGATTGGCTACGAGCCGTGTTGATATAACTCAATATCAACACGGAAAATTTCTTTCTTTATATTTCTTTGTGATATACAGTTAAACAGTGTATCAATAACACTCGTGAAAATTGGGAAAACTAGGATTATTTGCCCAATCAAAAGCCCTAAAAAGAGGTTACCCATCACTCTTTGCGCGTTTAGAGTTTAAGGTTTGAGATTTTCGAAGGACAACTTTTTTTGAATTAGTTGTATATACCTGGATACAACCTTTTTAGTGTAAAGTTTCACTTTACACTATTGTGATGACTAGCGAAAATTCAAACGAATCAGTCATTCAGTCATAGAGTAAACTTTCCGGGGGATGCATACGATTTATGTTTGTAGTGATTTATTGTACTTAATCAGTGTTTTGAAGGTTATTTAGGCAATTTCAGTTGTCGTCTTTTAGTATTCTTTTGTCCTTTTGCCAACTTCACAAAAATTTCGAGGAATCGTTGTCGTTATTGTAAATTTTTGTCAATTTTAGAACATTCGCTTCTCATGTTGTATAAAGGATCTTTCCCCCGGAACACCCGATTTTTTCTCTAACAGCGCAAATGCGCATGCGCTATCAACTACAGCCAGTACCAGTACAAAGTTATTACAGTAATATTACAGTATATTCATTTTAAATATTCTGGAGGAAACACAGTGAAGGTTAGTTTTTATAGTGAATACTATTTAGCCTACTGTTGATTTGAAGCTCGATTTTGATATACGGTGTCGGTGAAACAAGGACGCAAAATCAATGGACAATGGCGGATTTTCAAGAAAATCATTATTTTCAAAATAGGCCGTTTCAAGTTTTCGTTCCAACTGTGTCTTTAAAGGTTTATAACTATATATTTTGAAAGCTTCAAATGCGTGTGTTTACATGCGCAGCAAGTCGAGATTTTGAAAATGTATAGATATTTTTGAATTTCCATGGCATAACAACAGTTTGTTGCGAACATTTTCTCGGCGAATTTTCTACTAACCTGAAAATAAATCCAACTAAAATGTAGGCATTTTCACAAGCTTTCAAACCATCCGCGTTGGGGGTGTATGTCGTTAAATTTCGAATTAATATAAGCGGTTGAAACTCGTGCCTAAAGGCTAAAACCAGACATTATATAGAACATAAACATATGACATTTATTCGACTATATCTGTGCGAATATTAACAGGTATAATAAATTTACGTATATTGTCAGATAGCTGGTGCAATCAGCTACATTTTGGTACAAGCTATAATATTAATATTGTAGCTAGAATATTGAGCACGAATTCGTTGCCTAAACGAGGGTGTAAAAATTGCCGTCGGAATACACATTCTAGTCGGACAATATAATGTCTGGTTTTAGGCACGAGGTTCAACCGCTTATATTAATTCGAAATTTAACGACATACAGTACATCCCCAACGCGGATGGTGAAAGCTTGTGAAAATGCATACATTTTAGTTGGATTTATATTCAGGTTAGTAGAAAATTCGCCGAGAAAATGTTCGTAACAAACTGTTGTTATGCCATGGAAATTCAAAAATTAATTATTTGCCGAAGGCGAGGTGAAGTTATAACCTTTAAAGACACTGTTGGAACGTCGGTTGGAACGAAAGCTTAGTAAAATTGAAACGGCCTATTTTGAAAATAATTTTCTTGAAAATCCGCCATTGTCCTGATTTGATTTTGCGTCCTCGTTTCACCGACACCGTATATCAAAATCGAGCTTCAAATCAACAGTAGGCTAAATAGTATTCACTATAAAAACTAACCTTCACTGTGTTTTCTCCAGAATATTTAAAATAAATAGAATATAATACTGTAATAACTTTGTACTGGTACTGGCTGTAATGTTTCAATCCGGAAGTGCAAAAACGCAAAGCAAAGTTACGCCCCCTGTCATAATTGTTTTGCACGTAAAACGTAAAGTTTTCCGATCAAAACGCTCGCTACAAAACTCGTAAACAACTTGTTTTCGCGGCGTGGAGTAACGCTTGAATGCAAATGGTAATATCCGTGCAATATTCACTAAGGTTTCGATGTTTTAAATCGAATAAGCATATGTGACAATGTTAAAAATTTGCATAAAATTGCCTAAATCAAATATTATTTGGTTAAATTTGATTATATAGTTTTATTGTGGCCAAAAGAACGAATGAAAAACATAATCTGTTGGATAAACATTTATTCATTCATCATAGAAAGTATGTCTTTTTTCACGTATACAATGTCTTGCACGGGAAACCTTAAAACCCAAACTCTTTGATCTTTTGTTAATCGAGGCATATTCGAAAGGCGAGCGACGACCATGCAACTTTATATAATACGAACTTTCAAAGGACGTCAAATATGCTTTCGAACGAGTTTTTAAATGTTTCATGCTTAGGGACCGGTCATTATTTATGGCAGGGGTGGGGGCCGAAGAGAAAGTATAATGAAGCCGGAAAAAATCATTACCCCACCTTTTTCGAAACAAAATTTCTAGCTACCCCACCGGTGGAATGCCAGAAAATTTTTTTACCCCACCCAAACCTATTTTGTTGCAATGTCAAAGGTTCAGATATAAAATATGTAATGAAACAGTTTAGTATTTTGTATGCGTATTACTCATCAAGGTACAAAATTGCCCTTGATGAGTAAGATCATCTGCTGTTAGAGAGTAAATAATAATTATTATAGGGTGCTTTGACCACAGTAAACATTATAATTAAAAGGGAATAGGATTGATTGGTACCGTAATACTTGTTTACCAATATCCCTTGCCCCTTATTTCTTGTGGAGTAATTAAAGCACACTAACAGTCATGCCTTTATATTATGGGTTACCCCTACAATAGCAAGGTACTATATAAATAATTATAGTTATCTGAAGGCTTAAAATTTGTCTACTTGTAAAATTGAAATATGAATGGGTTTTTATAGTTTGTATTCAACGCTATATTCCCTTTTCACGAGATAGTGCAATGCTAGTCCCATAAACATATATTAACCATATGCTTCAATATTTAGAACACTAACCGTATTTCACCACCCTATCTCTTTCCCACTCTAAAGTTTCACTGTATATAATTTGGTTTCTTTCACATTCTTGCATTTCTTTATTAATTAAAATGCAATTTTATTTTGAAACAGTTTCACAAAATATGTGCTCACCCATGATTGCAATTACTCTCTAAATTCTAAAATTTCCTCTGAAATTCCTTTAATATTTCCTTAATCACATGTATTATCGCGGAATTTTAAAGGAATTCCTTAAGAATTCCCAAGGAATTCTTGAAGTTTATGATATCATTATCAATTTAATATTTTAATTCGTAAACAATACAACGATACTAAAGTATTTGTCCCATGTGAGAATATTTGAATTTAGAAAGTTACTGTAAATTAATGAGAAAAAGTTGCTGTTATACAGTGTGAAGATAAAGATATTCATCCGAATTCCAAGTATGATTATATAAACAATTAAATTAATCTGTAAAACCGGGTAAATAGATTTCTCTTATTTTATCCATGTATACATGATCTGCTAGTAAAGAAAAACAGCTAGTTGCCAAAGGCTAGAGTTGAACATATTGTGAACTAGCCATTGGAATGATTCTCCAGATTCACAAGGGGCATGGGGCATATTTCATGATTTGCTACCTAATTGTCCACATGGTTTACAAGCACATACTGGATATAAATATTAGTTATGCAGTATCAAGTGTAGATGCCCAAAAATTAAATCCTGAAAATTTAATAGACTGTACATATACTTTTTGAGATATGTAATAAGGGGATGTTTATATGGGGACGAGGCTGGATGCCCGGGGTTAGGGGCTACAGACTTAAGGTCACTTTTCCTGAAGCAAGATCTTGGGCTAAAGGGGCGGGATCGCTTAGCTATAGCTGGGCCCGCTCTTTACCCATATATACACAAGGTGAACTTTAGTAAGAAATAACAACAAAGGCAGGATCTTGCCAAAACTGGGCCAGCTTGGGTACCCTGGGGTTGGCTTGCAGTTGCACCATATAAACAGTCCCTATATATTATAGGCAGTATATATTTTGTCTGGTAATTGGAGTCTTTGAGATTTTGTGTGTAAATGAATATAAAAATGGGTTGAGGGGGGTGTTTCTGTCAACATTTTGGAAAGCAATAATATTTTATTAAAAAATTAGAATAATCACATATTAAACTCTGATTGTAGTATATATTGTATTGTGTGTGATTAAAGTAAGGTTATTTTTTTTACCCCACCTCTGCATGCAAGGATTTTTTGGCCACCCCACCTAAAGCAACTATTATTTTTCAGTTACACCACCATTTTCTCTTCGGCCCCCACCCCTGCCATAAATAATGACCGGTCCCTTATTTCGCTTCCCAAGAAACATGAAAGGTTAACTTATACTAGGACATTACCCGAAATCAAAGTTGAGTTGAAATGCTGAAATTGAAATTGTTAATTTTTGTGGAAAATGGCAATTTGTTTTCATATAAATTTGATCAGCCATGTTTCTCGATTTTTTTACTCATTTTTAAAGCGTTTGTATCTCACGTAATATTATACATGAAATTTTTAGGGCTGTATATCAAAATCTAAGTTAGCCTTTTCCCAATACAATAAAACTTATTTGCGTGTAATAGCTTTTATAGTTTTTACCTTACATGAAGGAAATGAAACACCGCAAGTTTTTTTTTGGGACACCCGGTATATAATTAAATTAAATTAAAGTTATAAATATCTTAAAATAACAATGTTTTTTAGCTACTCTGAGTTTTACGATCTTGTCTGATCGATCTTCTTCTGATCGATTTGTGTAACGAGGAGAAACTATCCATTAATTATGAAAGCAGACCAGAAAACTTTACTTAATAAACGATCGGAAATCTTCGGAAATGACGCCACAAAGATCGGTTCCAAGCTGGAAATTTTCATCGCAAGCGCGTGCGTCACCGAAAATCACGAAATCAATTTTGAAATGAAATAAATCAATGTTTATTTTATTTTTATCTCTATCAGCTCTAAATCGTCAAAACATTCTGGTGTCTGAGCCAGAGTGTCGTCGAATTGTCACCGAAAATCACGAAATCAAACAATATATATATAAAGATATATATAAAGATATATATAAAGATATATATAAAGATATATATAAAGATAAAATAAACCTGGTTTACTTTTTTTTTAAATAATTTTATTTATTTAGTGAATAAATCTTATGAAGTAAACCAGGTTTATTTTATTTTTATCTCTATCAACTCTAAATCGTCAAAACATTCTGGTGTCTGAGCCAGAGTGTCGTCGAATTGTCACCGAAAATCACGAAATCAAACAATATATATATATATAAAGATATATATAAAGATATATATAAAGATATATATAAAGATATATATAAAGATATATATAAAGATAAAATAAACCTGGTTTACTTTTTTTTTTAAATATGTTATTTATTTTTTTTTATATATGTTATTGTTTAGTCGGTTTAAATGTTAGAATTTTCTTCTTTAAACTTTAATGTTGTCGTCACTACATCTGGAAAACCACGTAAGAACAAATTAAAAGTATTTTAAAAGAGACCAGGTTGTTTGAAAATCCTAAACGAATGCTAAAAATCGTCAAAACATTCTGGTGTCTGAGCCAGAGTGTCGTCGAATTGCAATGTAATGTAAACAGAAATTATAGCAAGTTATGTCAGTCAGCTTAGATGGTTCAAGCCAAAATTATATCGCATTTGAAGTTTCAAACTGAGTTACAAATAGTAGAAGAAAAGCCGTAATTATACTTATTGTTACAATCCATTTAATAAGGTGCAACATTTTTTTGTTTTAATGAAAAAATCAGTTATTTTCATGAGAACGATTTGTTATTCCATCTCAATTTTTTTAATCTCCAATCGCAATAACGTAAAGTATTACTAGCCGCGAACCGATGTGTCAAATTTAAGAAACAACCCGCTGTTAGAAAGCTGAATGGCTACGCTTTAAAATGAATGTAAACTTTAACGTTTTCGTCTATTATTTGTTTAGCTATTTACATTTCAGTCGAGGATTGCGCTTTTTTTGATACACTATATATATATATATATATATATATATATATATATATATATATATATATATATATATATATATATATATATATATATATATATAGCTTAAAATTTTGGTTTACGAAACACAAACAGTGCTCAATACCATATAGATAGAGCGTAATATATGATGATTCCTATACGGATGAAACAGACTGTTGTGGTTTTTTGAGGTAAAACGAAAAACTATATATATATATATAGATATATTTTTTCTTATGTTTTACGAAATATATTATCTATAGGACAATCCTATAGGATTATCTATAGGACAATCCAATATATATATATATATATATATATATATATATATATATAGCTTACGATTTTGGTTTACGAAACAC